GCTGCCTCTGGCACAGCCGGGAGGTCCTGGCCGAGCAGGGATCCCTGCCACCGGCTGCCCGTGGAGCTGGGCCAGCCTGTCCTCCCTCCCTGGCAATGGGCACCGGGTGGCACGTGTGCGCGCTCCTCTCTGCGGTGTTGTTCGCCGCCCAGGCTTTCCCCCAGACAAACATAAAGATCAGCCAAGGTGAGTGCAAAGCGTTGATTGTGGCTTGCGGTAGAGGTAACCTTAAACTGCAACAGCTTTAGCAGGGAGAGGAGAGTGCGTACCTCCTGCAGGGTCAGCAGCTGGCTTTCCCCTTTCTCCAGCTGCTGCAGAAGTCTCTGCCTTTCCTTGAAATCGGCTTTCTTCTTCACTGGGAGGATGTGCCAAGAGCAGCCCCAGTCTCTCTCTCTCTCCCAGGGTATTGAAGCTCTCTCTGGGCTGGCTTTGTTTCTGTGTGTAAGAGCCGCTTTCACCTTCAGCAGCGCGTGCTTGCGTGGCACGATGCCGCGGACCTTCAGCCATCCCTGCCATGGGTCTGGCGTGGATGGCAGGGCCAGTGGGCAGAAAGAATTATGTGGAGGAACGCATACGAGCAGTGCCGGACTGCAGCCACACAGCCCAGCACATGGAAACAATGGCCCCAAGTGAGTTATTCCGCCTTATCCCCCCCCCTTTTTTTTTTCTGAGCTGTTGGTGATGGCGGCTGGTGTATGTCACTTAAGGTTCTTGCAAACTGCTGCCGAGTTTCTTCACGCCCTGTTAGATTTGTATCGGAATGTGAGCAGAAAGGGACTCCTTAAGTGCTCTTCAGTGAATTCGTGAGAGAAAAGGTTGATGTGAGCCTGGCTTTCCTGCCAGACACCTAATCCGTGGGAGCTTCACCAAAACTAATTAAGGAGGAAGAAAACCCTGCAAGATAACTCCTATCTGTTAGTGCCAGCTGCAGGAGGGCTGTTGCCGGTGTCTGCCGTAGCCTCATGGCTTCAAATGTACATGGGCAGAAGAGTTGGAGCTGTAAAACCAGCTTGGTTTTGTCACAGCGTTTAGAAAAGCAAAGCCCTCTGTGTGAAGCGATGTCACTTCCAACGTGTTTCAAGTGGTGTTTAAAATTTCACTTGGAAATTTGTGAAGTGCTTTAAAAACACATCAGAGTGTGTAAAATATTGTCCAGTTATTAAATGAGCTTTCTGTCCACCAGTGGATACCATCCCCTCCAGCTCCACACATCCCCTGGACACACAGGCTGAAAACCCTCCCATGATCTGCTTGTTTTGAAGGTGGGCGCTAAGCATGAGACTTTTTCATCTGTTAATGAAAGATAAATACTGCAAATCACAGGAAGGTGAGATTGTTTGTCCATAGTGACTGTGGTGTCGGGGCTTAAAGATGTGCTCCTAAAGCCATGGGTGACCTGAGGCACCTCTGCATCACACAGTAGCACTGTCTTAGTTCCTGCTACATGCTCTTGCCCACCAACCCCACTTTTTAATATTTTTTTTTGTTTGTTTTATTTTAATTTTAATGGTTTCTTTGGTTTTATTCACTAAAGAGGATGTGGCCTTTTGGACATTTCGAGGCTGTCATGGGCTGGGGGTCTGGCTCAGCTGGCACATTGAGTCTCCCGGTCTCATTGCAGCCTGCTTCTGCCTCAGCAGTCCTGGAGGGTCCTGGGGCTCCTCTGTCCCAGCCCTGTTGTCTCACCCATCCGCTATAACCGCTCACTGCTCCGGCAGTGCCAACACAGGGTAAAGCCGTGCTGCTGGTCTTCCCCGTGACCCTGAGCTGGTAAGAGGCAGCTTGGTGTTGGTGAGCACCAGGATGCTCATCCAGAGCCCCAGCTCTGACCGCCAGCTGGGGAGCTCTCCCCATCCCTCGCTCTCGGCATCGCAGTCCTTGGGCACCAGTGGAGGGGCTCTGCCAGCAGCTCTGCCCTGGGAGGGACCCAACCTTGCACGTAATGGGGATCTCCTTAGCTCTTCTCCATTGGCATCAACTTCAGACAAGCCTCTTGGGTATTGATGGACACACTCCAAACCCAGCCGCTTGCCAAGAGCTGAAGAGGTTCACTTGCTTTTTCAGGTCAGAGGACAGCTTTAGCTTATGGATGTGCTAAGGGGGGTTTCAAGACCACGCCTTTCAGTGAGGTGCCTCCTGAGGTCTCTAAGCTTTTTAGTAAGCCATCAGCTGTTGATGAAACAGAGCCCTTCAATGCTCTGCAGCAAGAAGAGCATCTGCTGCCAGCACTGACCTGATCCGAACTGCTGTCCAAAACCCTTTGATGGAGCTGCAGCCCCACAGGAGTCTTCCTTGCACGGGCTTCTCTTGCCAGCCTTGTCCTAGCCCCAAACTTCGTATCTGAAATCTGTGGATCACTGCAGGTGAGGCCGCATTGCACTTTGGGATGAAACTGTTCAGGAAAAAGCCTGCTCTTCACCCGCTGAGTCAGTGGGAGTTACACAGTTGGTATTCTAGCTTTTTCAGTAGCATCCTGGAATAAAAAAACCTCGTGAAACTGCCAGGGGTTTTCTCAATTAATTGTTTCTAGTTGGAAAGTGGCCACGTGGGGAAGTGAAACTTTTTGGCAGAGCAGTGCCAGCTTCCGCAAGATTTTAACAAGTGATTTTTCCCAGCGGTTCTGCGGTGGGTCTTGGCTAGTAAATAGATAAAAAGGCACCAGTTTTGTTGGCACAGAAACAAACCCACTTTGTGCAAAACTCTTTTTCTGACCCAAAATTCTCGTTTTCCAGTTTCTCTGAGTTAGTAACATCTGCCTGGTATGAATCTTATTGTCAGCCAAGTCCAGGCATTTATTTTGCTGGTGCTGCATTAAAACATGGCCCTAACCTTAAAACTGCCGCACTTTAATTAAGCGAAGGGAGGAAGGATTCTTGCCATCGTTTTTGACCAGGAATTTGGGGACAAACAGATGAAATGATGTGTGGTCGGCAGAAGCCCTCTTCCCGGGGGCAGTGGATGTGCTGCCCCAGCCCTGTGCGCGGGAGCTGGTGCTGCTGGGGGTGAGGTTTTTCTGGGTTGCTTAAAAGTGAGGATCTGGTCGAAATAGCCCCAAAATGCTTTCCCTGACCCCTTTTAGATCAAAATATCCTTGGCAGCTGCTGGCTTGGGTTATGAGGTTTTCCTGCAGAGCTATGAGTGGGCTCATGTACTCACAACTATACATCCAATTTCTTATGGCCTTTCTGCTAAAAATAGCCCCCAAAGGCCCCAGATAAAAGCAGCACCCCCAGGTGTTCCTGCCTGTAAAACTGGGAGCAATAGTTCTCCAAAGAGACTGCCAAAGCCTCTGATCCTGACCTAACAGAAAAGATGGTAATTAAATGCTGACCTCCCATATTTTCCTTTTCGGTATATTTAACCTTAAATTCCTTCAGGCACCTCTGGTTCACTGAAGCTCGTCAAATTAATGCTACCTAATGGGAAGCAGTATGGAATAACAAAGAAGGACTGTCTCCATCTCTGACTTGGTTTTGGCTGTGCTGGACAAAACGAGGTTCGTTTTCCTGGGCGACTGGGGCACTGACAGCCGTCGCTTGGAGCCAGGGCACCAGAACGCCCACTGCAATTAGCACTCAGGAGTGAAGGGCCCCGTTTGCTGGGGATGCTGCTGGGTTAAGCCCTGTGAATTTTGCCACCATGCTGCTAGAGGTGAAGAGTTCGTTGAGGAGCTTCGCAGCCTCTGCAATAAAATCCCAATTGCTGGGGGAGCTGGTGGTGCCGGTCTGCCGCAGACCCCCCAGGTACCCTCGGCAGGAGGGAGCAGCAACCAGGAGCTGTGGCGGGCCAGGACCAGATCCCAGCCCTGTCCTAGGATGAGGGGGACATGCCTTGTCTGTGACCTGGCAGTGAAGCTGAAGCCTTGTCCTGTGGGTTTGACCCTCTGCCCCTGCTCTGCTTTGCTTTTGGTGGGGACAGGGACCCCAGCCAGCATCATGGGGAGAGGGGGAGTTTGGCTCCCAGGAAATAACACCAGCTCTTGGCGTTCCTGGTCCTTCTGCTCTATAGTTATAATAGCAACAATTTGCATTTTTTAGGGCTCTTCTAAGGTTTTTCCCAACGCAAGCATAGCGATGTGAATTGGAGAGCTGAACCCTGTATTGCCACTGAGATGGCTGGATATTGGCCACCCTCTCCTCAAACTATTCTGCATGTTTCCAGTCCAGCATGCCTTATCTTTTTCCTCTGCAGCCCGTAACTAGTGTTGATGAGGCTGGGAGAGCCCTTCAAGCCCCTTGCTGCTCTTGGCAGGTTTGTTGCTGTGGGGTGCAGAGCTGCTCCCAGCCCAGCTCCAGAGCAGTTGAGGGTCCCGATGCAGGGTGATGGGGTGACAGCTCTGCGGGGCTCGGCAGTTGGCTTGGCCTCCCCATCTTGCTCAGGAGGGAAAAACAGGCTCTTTGCATTGTGGTTTGTCACCTGGGACTGGGGTGTGACAACAGGGACCCGGGAGTGTTTTGTAAAATGCTCCGAGATCTTGATGTGGAAAAAGCTGATGAAATACGAAATTATTGCCTGGAGCTGCCAGCACTGGTGCAGGGAAGGATTTGACTCCACAAAAGGTCCTGCAGCTGCTTTGAACTCACCTCACCTCTCCTTTTGCCCAGGCTGATGCTGCCCTCGCCGCTCCCATGTCTCGTGCTGCCGCTAGCAGGGTTTTCCTCTGCACACCCTCGGGAAAAGCCGTTCCCTCCCAGCCTCTGAGCACCAGAGGCTCTGTAGCACCACCCTGACCTCTCCGGGCTTGAGCCTGTTACCTGCTTGGATAGCTTCATGGCATCTGATGTCTGCCATGATCCCCTGCTCCCCCTGCCCTGCCTGCCTCCCCGCTCACTCCGGCAGCAGCACTGACCCCGGACCAGGACCCCGTAGGGATGCGGGAACTGGCTCTGGGGGAGGTGGCAATTCCCCACGGCTGAAAAACCAGCAGCTAAGAGAGTTAAGCCTATATGGGCCACCAGATCTGGGGCCGACGTGTGCGTTGGTGTTGGGCGGTGTGCTGTGTGCGCTGCGTCCTCCCCATGCACCACGTGGAGCAGGTCGGAGGCAAGCGTTGACGCTGCTGCAGTGTTTACACAGCAGCAACAGCAAAGGCTCCACAAATGCATCCTGCCCCCAGAATGGCCTCTTTTGGGGTAACTTCCCTGCCGTGCTGAGAAGTGGTGAGGGAGGAGGAGCAGCCCCGTGGGCCCCAGCTCTTATCTGGCGGTGGGAGGCAGATAGCCCGGCATCGCTCCCGGCAGCACACGTGCCTTGCCTGGCTATTTATGGGGCCGAAATCCAATGTGTGCCTACGTGCATGGTTGCATCCCGTCCCAGGGACGTGGCGAGGGGGTTTGCTCGGCGGGAGGAGGTGCAAGCTGGCCTTGCAGGAGGGTAGAGTGCAGCCATAACCCTGCAGCCCCCAGCTCTCAGCCCCCCTCCCAGCACGGCAGCTCCGGTCGTGCCTGACAGAGGTGAGAGGAGACCTTATCTTGGTTTCCCTGGTAGCAAAAGTCAGTGCCTTTATTTTAAGCAGCCTCTGCCTAAAGCAATGTCAAACTGACTTGAAACGTCCCTCCTGATTTAGGCAGACACTAAAACCGAGAAGCCCATGGCTTTTGCAAAACGTGTTTTGGCTTTCACAAACTACTGCACGGCTTCTGCAACAGTTGGTTTTTCCACGCGTGTGTTTGGCGGTTACTCGCCTGGGTGAGCTGGAGGGAGGAGGGCTGGGCACTGCTGCCTCGGCTGCCTGGCCGTGCCGCTTTGCCCTCGGCTGCTGGATGTCCTCTGCTCTGCCCCCAGCCATTCCGGAGCCTGTGCGTGCCTACTCCTGCCCGCTCTTCTGGACGGAGTACGAAGGCCATTGCTACCGCTACTTCCCCATCAACAAAACCTGGGCTGAAGCTGACCTCTATTGCGCCGAGTTCTCCATTGGCATCAGATCAGCCAAGCTGGCCTCCATCCACAGGTGAGGAGCACAGAAACTTGTCATTCCACCCTGGCACGGCCTGGGGAAGAAGGAAAATGGGGACAAAATCCCATTCCCACAGCACAACCTCTGTGCCAGCTGCAGGCTCATGTCCCAGCCTGAGCATCCCTCTGCAGCAGCAGCTGGGCAGGTCTGGTGCACCAGGCGCACAAAAATGCTTTTTCTTGGGCTGGCAGGAAAACTGATGTAGCATTCCCTAAATTCCCCAAAACGGCATTCTTTACTCTTGGAAAAGGGATAGAAATACAATGTGATTACATGGGGTTTTCCCCCTGCTCCTTCTCCTGTAAATCCACTCTACACACTACTTGTCCACACTACACACCTCTTGCACAGAACTGGGAAAGTAATTAACAGCAATTAGAAGAGGGGGACCCATCTGGCCTTGCCACAGGGCGAATGCCTGGGGGCATGCCTGACCATTGGCCCCCCCCCCTCCCCGCCTTGGCTGTGAATTGCTCTGTTTTGCCAGCTGGGAAGAAAATGTCTTCGTGTATGACCTGGTGAACAGCCGCGTGCCAGGCATCCCCACCGACATCTGGACGGGGCTCAACGACCTGCGGCAGGTGAGAGTTTCCCGTAATCATGTGGGAAATGGCTTTGAAAAATTCACTTCCCTGAGTTTTCCCCCTGGAAAGCCACTTGGTTTTCTTCTTCGCTCCTCATAGCCCCGTTAATTGGGTGGTGGCATAGGGGCTGTCGTGCAGTGCATGGGGGAAAGTTGTCATTTCATCCCCTCCAGTCTGCTTTTAAAAGAAAATTATTACTAGAATTAATAGATTAATAATTACTAATCATTCACATCATATTTTATTAATGGATTAATAGAAAGAATATTGTACTTCTGGTCCAAGAAGAGCAAATAAACTGAAAATTTCTCCAACACCCAACATCACCAAGTTTCATTGCTTTCTTGTGATACTCTGCAACTTCTCAGAAGCTGATGTGTTGGAAATATATAGTCTAATATGTAGCAAGGAAATAAAAATCAAGACCATCAGGAGACCAGTCACACGCTAGCAAATCTTTTGTAGATATTGGGAAAGGAATGGAAAAGAAAAACAAAAAGGAACACAGAATTGGGTGGGTGTGTTAAAAAATACATGGGTTTAATTTCTGGGCTTCCCCTGGTGTGAATGCTGCAAATGCTGGGGCTTTCCAGGGAAAGTTTTCAGTTGTACAACCCAAACGTGCTGTTTGGCCTTTGGTGAGCGGTGACAGCCTCTCCCTCTGTCCCCGGGCTGCATGGCACTGGGCATGGGGATGGGGGCTGCATGGGAGCGGGATCCCCCCCCCCAAACACAGCTCTGCGATCACCGCCTTTCTCCGCTCCTTTGACCAGGAGGGTCACTTCGAGTGGACGGACGGCTCCTCCTACGACTACCACTACTGGGATTGCAGCCAGCCCGACGACGGGATCCACTCCATCCCGGAGGAGGAGGACTGCGTGCAGATCTGGTACAGGCACAGCAGCGGTGAGTGCCGCGCCGGGCAGTCTTATTTGCATGTCAATAAATCCAATCCACTGCGGCTTGCATTTTCTGAAGAGGTTGCTGGCAGGCTGAGGATTTGCATTTTAATTTTTTATTATTAGTTTCTTTTTTCTTTGCAGAGGAGGAATGTGTTTTCTCCTTCCCTGTGTACATACATACACACACGCACGCACTTCCCCTCTGCTCACAGCCCGTCTCCCTCTCGCACAGCAATGGCAGGAGGGGAGCATCATCCACTTTGAAGAATCACTGAATTTAGCCAAAGGTCAAATTTTCCCATTTCCCCTCCCACATGGGAGGCCTGCAGAAACACTCATCGGTTTGCCAGCTTTTCCCTCCCTCCCTCAGGCCAGGGGCATGTTGGCAAAGTGGGGCAAGACCCTGTGCAAAAATCCCGGTTCTCATTGCCAGTGAGACCCGTCAGGCATATCCAAATCTCCTGGACATACCTACACGCCCCAGCCAGGGGCAGCCTGTTGGTATTTTGTGGAGTACACGGCTGTGTTTGCAGCTGCCTCACTGCTACCATGTTCGAGCCAGGGCCAGGAATCGCGGCCAGCATCCCCAGGACAGGGATGGGGATGTTGGGAGGGGGCATGCCTGGGAGAAGCACAAATGGAAGCACATCCAGGGAAGGCCTCCTGCAACAGCACGAGGTCCTGGTCCCGAGGGCACTGCATGATTACCTCCTCATCCCTTTTTTTGGCTAATGCCTTGTTTTTCTGGGGAGTAGCGCTGCGCTCCTGGAACGACAACGCCTGCGGCAGAGCCTTCCCCTTCGTCTGCAAGATCCCCTCGCTGGCCCTGGACTGAGGCTGCCGGTGCGCCCCCCTCATTGTGGGTCCCCTCTCGAGCTGTGCCGGGGAAGAGCAGCCGGGACGTGGCACGGGCGGCAAGAGTCGTGGAGCTGCTTGGCATCCCCAGCCAGACCCCGGCTGCTAAAATCCATCCCGGGAGCGCTGCAGGGACGAACCCGGCGCTCACCCTCCCCACGGGCAAATGGCCACAGGAGCTGTGTTAAACAGCAAAGGAGCCCCCGAAGCCTGAGCTTTGGGTTTCAGATCAACTGTCACAACCTGTTAGAGGAAACCCATGATTTTATCAATACACCAAACTGTTAGCACAAAAAAATAGCTGTGTGTAGGAAATGGTTTTGCCCGTTGATCTGTGAAGAGCAGAGGAGAAGTGTTATTTTCTGTTAAGTTATGCAAAATGCCTCTTGCGCGCATTATTTTTCTCTCTGCTACAATAAACGGCGAACAGCAGGTGGAGGGTCCTCCGTCTTTCCAGCGCTCACGTACAGCAACTGCCCGGGGACGTGAGGTCTCGTGCGAAAGGAGCTGGTTTTACTTCAGTCTGCTCTGTATTAAAAAGCTGCGCTGGGGGGGAAGCGGGCACCTGGGAAAGATTATTTTGCTGGCCTCAACTGTTTTCTGCGGTCCCTGGCGCAGCTTGTGTCCCTTCGCCTGTCCCCCATCAGCCGCACGGCATCACCAGCAGCTCCGGGCAGGCAAGCAGGGCTGAGCGCGTTACCAGGAGGGCGGGCGAGGGGCTGATGCATCGGCCCACGCTCACCAAGCTCTCCTGGGTGGGGAGAGCTCGCAGCTCTTGGTGCGGCCGTTTGCTAGCGGGAAGATGCTCTTTCCTGCAGTTGTGCTGATGTCCTCCTGTTCTACGCTGGCACCACAGAGGTACTTGTATCTGCCAGGTGAATCTTTTTTGGGGAAGTGTGTGTGGTTGTGGCAGCCCCTGTGCGCCTTGTTTGAGTTGCTCAGTGGGTCCCTTCCTCCTTGCACATGGGTGCATTTGCAGGGCTTGGGTGCGAGTGGGGCTGTGATGGTGCCAGGGCCCAAGGGAAGGGCAGGGCTATCGAGGCAAAAACACGCGGCTGCTTTAGAGGATGCATCCGCAAGGATGCTACTGGAACCCAGTCAAATGCAGTCAATCCAGTGCTCCCTGGAGAGCCCCTGCGGTGTGACCCCCAGTCCCGCACAGCCCCGTGGCATCCAGGAGGCTTTGAGAGAAGCCTCGTGCAGCAGCGGGGGGGCTGCTCCCCCCTCCGGCCCCTTGCCCTTTCTTGGGAGCAGTGTGTCCCTTCTGCCCCTGCTCTGGTGAAGGCCCAGGGTCTCACCGGGGCAAAGCAGCTCGGACAGCCCTGAGCTGCCCTGTCTCAGCCGCTGCCTGCAAAGAGGAGTAAACGCATCCTCATAAAATTGTCTGGTGTCCCTTGATGTCACCATCTTACAGACATAAAATTTCAAAACTAAGACTTTCCAAGCGATTACACTGGGTACAATGAGGTAAATAACTGAGGCTCTGCTGGGAGCTTCTAACTTCTTCCTCGGGTGTCAGCACGGCTTTCAGCTAAAACACATTTCCACTTGGAGAGAAACTGCAAAACTTGGTGGGGGTAACAGTGGTGTTGTAAGTGGAACACGTGTGCATTGGAGAAATTGTCTAAAATAAGGAAATACAGTCATCCCTGTTTGTGTGTTTTTATATTAAAATATTTTTAATATAAAATAGATATAAGTGGATAATACATATAAATAAAAACATATTATTTTAATGGATTTTATGTATATATACTATCCATATATTTACAAGGAAAGTAAGCAAGTTGCATAATTTTCGGTCCTGGGCAGGAGACAGTGTTGAATATGGCTTCTCAAGGCTTTTGCTTCATCTGAAAACAATCAGTTACACATCGATAATAACAGTATGCAAGGAAACCAGCTGTAACAAAAAAAAAAAGTTCTTTGATCCATCAAGCTAACAAAATGCCGATGTGTGGGATCTGATCTGTGGCAGAAAAAGGGCTTGAGGAGCGATGTTGATCACTGCCCTCGAGGTCCCCCGTGGACAGGTCCTGTGCCCAGGGACAGCAGGGTCGGGCACCAGCGTGGCACGGGGCACGTATCTGACCGGCTCCTGGCTCCCAGTGCCGGTGCTGTGGTGTGGGCCCATCTCCGCAGTGGAGATCAGGGGCCCGGAGCCATCACACCCTGCAGATGCGCCTCGGCCCAGAGCCCATCGTCCCTGGACGGAGGGTCAGGTGATGCTGCCACACGCTGCCAGGCTCAGCTCCGGGCTCCAGGCTGCCTCTCCCCAGGTTCTTCACCCTGTTGCTCACATGTCCCCGGTTCAGAGGAGCTAGGAGTTTGTCACAGCTGGGGCTCGGTATACCTCAAGCCAAAACCTCTCTTTTTACTCTTCAAGTGGTATGAGATGTTTCAAAAGAAAGGTTAAAACCTTCCCTTGGGAAAGTGTTTGAAGAGTTGGGCCCTACTGTGGCTAAAAATATTGCTAATGGGGAAACCAATGAAAGCTGTCGGCTCCAATTAACATCTTCATTTCCAGGTAAAAAGAACTGAACATGCGTGACCTGAAAGTCGGGACCAAAGTTAATAGAGGCTTTGTTTTGCAACCCCACTGGCTTTCTCCCCAGGCTCCAGGAACCTTATTTAATAAACAACCCTCTCTCCTCACTAGTGTCTTCTGTTTCACAGTAATCAAATAAAATCCAGAAAACAACAGGAGTTTTCACCTCCCTAATGAACTTTTAGTGGATCTGTTGAGGTCAGTGCTGGGTGGAAGACTGGACATGCCCTTTCCCTTGGCACGGACAGTCCCAGGCTTTGGGTGGCTGGGAGGAGCTACAGCTCTTCGCATGAACTTTATAATTTTATTTTTCTGTACTCCTTGTCCCATAATCCCTAACTCCCCTGTTATCTCAAATTTCTCTGTCCCGCCTTGCCGTATGGTGCAGGCAGTGAGAAACCCGGCAGTGGCACGACTCTCCCACACCTCTCCTGCACATCGCTTGCAAGTGACTGATGCCGGAAGGTCCTTTTATGTCTCTGAGCTTTTTAGGAGCTGAACATCTTCCTTTGTAACACATGAAAGTCAGGGTCAGCATGAACAGTGTGTGATGTAGCCTGGGAGTGAACAAAAATTATTGTCTCTTGGTGACAAATGTCTTTACCCTCCTATAGCCCATTTCATGGTCAGTAGAAACAACATTGCCCCCAGCCCTGGGTGGAGAGACGGGCCCGCCTGGACCATTGGCCTTTTGATTCTTTTAATTTCCTACTATTATTGTTCTTTATTTCCTGGAATACCCTGCTGGATGTCCAGGGAAGGGAGCTGCGAAGACAAGCGCTGTGCTGTCAGCAGCTCACCAGGGCCAGCCCCAGGCTCAGGCAGCCTGGCGAGGATCTTCCTCCCCGGTTTCTGATCTGGACTGCTCAGACGGCTGGCTGGGCTGGCCTGGGCTGAACTTTCCTTTCCTCGGTGAATTCGGTACGATTTTTTCCCCTGAAAACTGCTGGGGGGATAAGGCCTGCACAGCTGAATTGTAAGCTTTTTCTTGTGCATCTCCTTTTCTCCCCCTGGTTTCCCTGAGTGTTAATTACCTGCCTAGCAGAGCTGCTCCTGCCCTGGGGCAAGGATGCTGCGGAGCGGTTCCCTTTGACAGGGAACAAAAATATCTCACGGCCAAAAAAAAAAGGCTGCCAGCAGCTCAGTGAGTAAATTATAGACATTTACTGGTGTGGCAGTGAGGTTCATCATCAAAATAAAACCCCAAACCACAAAACCTTATGATAAATGGTGTTACCTATCTATGTGACGGTGTTAGCATTAAACCCCCCGGCTTCGGTGCTGCAGGCAGAGACAGAGCAGCGGGGCGTGAGGAAGGCGAGCAGGATTTGGCCCCATGCTGTGCGGGTCCCAGCAGATATTGGCTTAACTGAGATGTTCCTCCCGTTCTGTGGCAGGAGGGGGTTCCCATCATGCCTCACACCAGCTTCTCCCTCCCGCTGCCCGGGAAGGAGTGGGATGGCAGAGGTGGCAGGGATGAACCTGCTGGGAAATGCATCTCCTTCTGGGCATGGCTCGGGTGGGCACGGCCTTGGCTCAGACAGCCACCAAGAGATGGGCCAGAGATGTGATCACAGGCAACTTTATAAACTGTACAACCTGCTGCTGTGTTAAGGCATCTTAATTAATTGCAAAAGCTGAGTGAGGCTTCAAACAGCGCTGGTGTTCCTCTGGGAGAGGCTCATTGCTGCCCGGGGCTCCTCCAGCCTGGGGCACCCCAGGACGGGGCTGGCTCACGCCAGCACCAGGGCCCGTTTTGCTGTTGGTTGCTCCTCATCGGGACCCCTCAAGTCTCCCTGTCTTTTGTGGCCAAGGATTTCCAGGCTTCTTGCAAGCACTGCCTTGATGGGGAGCGATGGTCTGTGGGTCAACAGCCCAGTCCCCCTTTTGGGGCAGGGCTCTGCGGCACAGCCACCTAAAAGTTTTTTATTCATGGCTTTTGTTTTGCAAGGGCTTGGTAAGTTGGCTGGAAACTTCCATTCCTGGGTGCAAATTCTCAGAGACACTGCTGATAAGATGTAAAGCGCAGATCTAAGGAGAGA